TCTCTCCCAGCCCTGCCACCCGTTAGAGGTTTTGGCACTCTCATGGAAGAAAGTGGGTAGAAGGAGAACAATCTTCAGCATCACACAAAACAAGGCAAATAACTAATCAGGGGAAACCATGCAGAGAAAAAGTAACTTGCAGATCTACATCAAAGCCTATCTGAAACTTCACCAAAAGAGGTCGTTTTCCTTTTAAGATCTAACTGGCTTTTGCCAGAGTCTTTGGTAACTAGGCAGTTGTACTGCAAAGGTAAATCACCTGTAATCATTCTTTTTTTCCTATTCAATAACTCCTGTGTTCAAAAGGGGGTATTTTACTACTATTTTTCCTTTGACAGTTACTTTTATGCAGGGATTATTGGCAGCTCAATAGCTGACTTGTGCAGAAAAGCCACTCTGGGAGAGGGAAGCCTCATCAGCTCTTTCTTCTAATCTCCCAGCATGTTAAAAGCACTTTGAGGCACAGAGAACAGCAGTAAAGTAGCATTAATGTAAATCATAGTTTCTTCTCTTTTAATAGATCCTCTATGCACCCCTATGTAGGGAACATGACCTGGCAGAATCCCATTCTCCTCCTTCCTCCTCATTCCTACCTGGAAGTAACAGATAAGCCATTTTCAGCAAAAATAGACAGCATCACCATGATGCACACAGATTGCCTTGTCAAATCCAAGCAGCAGTGCTGTGCAAAGAAAAGCCACTCCATGTTAATGCACTATCATCCTGCTCCATGGCAACCTCTTCCCAACAGGAATGGCAGCTGTAGGTCCAACGTGCCAAATCTTATTCTTCAGATATACAGTTTCTAACCACTGAATGATCCCATTCAGTACACTTCATAATCCACTGCAAAATAAGCCCTTTACTGATAGTTATCAATACTTACAGGTTTGGAAGGGCTTAAACCCTCTAGGCAAAAGCATAAGGTCCTTTTCATAATCAAAGATACATAAATAAGACACTCTGATAAGCACAGTATCAAGAACGGAACATGAAATGGACAAAAAATGCATCCTATTTCAAGTCTCAAATAATTCTGGTATTTCATAGCAACTTAGTCTTTGCACACAAACACAGAAGGAGCAGCTCACGAGACAGTGGAGTAGCATTCATAGCTGCATCATTATTTAAGCCAGTTCCTTAGACATCTATGGACTACTAAGGTGAAGACTATTGAATCAAAACTGTTTCCTGACAGTTCTCTTCACGCTGCTGCAAGAGGCCTGATCTTGGCACGATCTGCTTTGAGGAGAGGTACTACATCAGCACTCCACACTCCCTGTTGCTGCTCAAGGTCACTATTCTGAATTACACACCTGAGGCTCGAAGACTGCCCTGCTCAAATCCTCTCGGAGGAACAGGGTGGGGAGAAGCCCACAGGTCTCCCTAGAAGGTGGGGTTTGTTTTTTATTGAGGGAGGTGGTCTTCCAAAATAAAACAAACAAACAAAAAAATCCTTCTGCATTTATGTTGGCTGGCTTTTAAATTCTAAGTTTGCCCGAAGCCCTCTGTCACCTGCTGCCCCAAAACAACAGTCTGGATGCCAAGGGTCCTGAATACCGAGAACTTTTGTACTACAAAAGAACTTCTGAACTCCTGAACATTTACCTTTACACTAAGGTAAAAGCCTTAACAAACGTTAAATAGACTTTAAAATAGGAGTTTGAATTTGTGTTATGAGCGCATTAACTGCAATCTGGTGTAGCTCTAGCTATTTTCTTAACATTTTAAGTTAAAAAATTCCAGAGGTATAAGACTCTCAGAGCAGGATGGTAATTCCTCATTACTTTATTAAGGTCTTTAGTTTATATACCACTGCTTTGTCAGCTTGTCACTAGATCATGTAAAACATCAGACAGAAGAGGGAAACACGTTGGCTAGAAGTACAACAGACTCTCTGAACAACATTAATGAAGAGTTCTATTACACAATGCAATCAGAATAGAGTAAAATAACAGGCAACCTATACAGGTTGTCAAAATAAGATCAGCCCATCCTTCCAGTACAGATGTTTTACTTGCAGCACTTCTTTATGCAGATTTGCATACAAAGGCTCAGTTAATTCCAGAAGTTCAAGTGCAAGTGGACTTCTGACTAATATTAATCACAAAAGCCATCAATTTACCAAGCAAACATTTTAATTGTTTAAATTGCTCTCTTCCAAGTATGAAGAGACAGAAGTACCACTCCACAGTGGTATCTCCTATGACAGTGACAAAGGACCACCTGCTTATAACTTAAATAATAAATTCCTGTTTTGTATAACTGAGGCTGAATACCCACAGGATATTATTAACATTTCCCCTCCAGCATCTGGTCTAATAAAGAAACACAAAACAGCTTTACTGTAGTACAAAAGTTTACAGAAAGTTTGACAATTTAATTAAAGACAATACAAAATACGTTGCCTGAATTCAAATAATTTATGTAAAAGGACATGAATGAGAAAATATTGGTGAGAAGATTTGGGTAGCCATATTATCAGATGCATATTCTTTGTCTCTAGAGATAACATACAGTCAAAAATACACTTATATTTTAAGTTACAATAAAAGACAGCATTTTAAGATGAACACAATTTCAGGTCTACCAGCCCTTTTACTGCAAAAACTTCCTGTTAACACAGGACAAATTGACAGAATAAAAAAATGGAGCAATACTGAAGTCCCTGAACAAGTCTGTAGTGTTTGTTTTTCCTTTTATCGAGGAGGGAAAAGACAACAGAAAACAAAAAGGAGTGGTTTGTTAGTGCCCTGTTTTTCAGTTAAGTGTTTTAAACAGTGTGATCAGAGCATCAAGGATTACCTTCACCCATACACCATAGAAAAAACCACCCTTCTTGTGAGGAGACAGGGTATGGATCAGGCACAGATCTTCCCTTCCACACAAAGCAGTACCACATCCACTCAAGAGCGGATCCTGCAGGCAAAGCAAGCTACCCCTACTGTACTGAGGGTGGCAGCTTGGCCCCAACAAGCACTTTCTCTCAGCCTCCAACAGAGCCATTATTCCTCTGAAATCACGAGTTATTTCTTCACATTTGTCAAATATTGAAACCCCAGAAGTCATCTTCTTGATTACGGTATCAGACAACAGCCTGAAACACCCAAGATTTCTTACCATGTGTCACTTGCCCTCCACATTTGTGTGGTCAGCTAAATAGTTTAACAAGACGACACATGATTAATTTCTTTGAAGATATTTTAGTTCATTCATTCTCGATAAAAGCACTGGTTGCAGTACAATAGTTTGACACACGGCAACAAAACATACTCAATTTACATGCACAAGCTATTTAACAATAGTACACGGTCTTTCCTATTGCCATTATAAAATGAACACTACTATGACAGCTGACACAGCCTTCTGATTGTTCTCACGAGCTCTAAAAAAGTGATGAAAACAGTGCTCCAGTTGGTACGACGTCAAAGAACAGAGGAAGATTCCAATGAAGATGCCAGTATCAT